GTAGCAAATGTTGTTGGGTCTCGTCTAAGTGGTGGAGTATTATGTTGTAGCTTAGCTATATGGCCACGATTGCTATTTCTTCTTATGGGACGTAGGGAGAATAAGTTCCCACCTCCCAGGAGGGACGTGTAGTTAACAAGAACTCTACGAGCGTGGGTGCGCTGTACCGGCTGATTTTTATTGGGATCTCACGCCAGGGTGGGAAGACGTGGGGCAGGAGGAAGTTATATCGTCTCTGGCCCTTCTGGGAGATGCAGCTGTCCAAGTGGGCCAGCCCTTGTCCCGCTCTTTAAACTCTGCAGTCACAGGAATTACCTGCAGTCTCTGCAGGAAAGAGTCCCAAAATACTCGCTTTTCTTTACCCTTGTTAGTGCGGTTTCTCAAAAATGTGAGCCCAGGAGAGATTATGATAGTCCAAAAGCCATGGGACTGGTATATGAACGCCCGCTTTGTAAGATCCCACTGCTAGCTAGGTGTGGGGGCAGGGGACTTAGCTGCAGCGACAGATGGGGGTGATGGGTGACGTTAAGAAGCTACTGCAGCCTTTCTTACACTCTCCAGAGTTCATCACACTCTATGCGTGGGTGAGCTGCACCCGGCCGATTTTTATTGGGGTCTCAAGCCAGGGTGGGGAGACTTGGGGCGGGAGGAAGTTGTATTGCCTCTGGCCCTTCTGGGAGAGTCCACTTTCTATAAGGGCCAGCCCTGGCCCTGCCTTCCAAACTCTGCTGTTGCGGGAGTGCCCCACAGTCCCCACAGGAAAGAGTTCCAAAATATGCGCTTTTCATTATCCTTGTTAGTGTGGTTTCTCAAAAATGTGAGCCCAGGAGAGATTATGATAGTCCAAAAGCTGTGGGACTGGTCTATGAATGATTCCTTTGCGAGATCCCACTTGTTTTTTCCACCGGAGCAAGTCCCTACCTTTTCTGGCTGTTCTGCCATACCGGAAGTCCCCAATTACATTTTAATATGGGCACAGGCAAGAAGAGTACAGTAAAAAGTTGAGCAAATATAGCAGAATATATTTTTCTAATGTAGGTTGTTATTGATGCTGTTAAGTGCTGTTGAGTCAGTTCTGACTCATAGTGACACTGTATAGGATTTCCAAGGAGCAGCTAATGGGTTTAAACTGCTGACCTTGTGGTACACAGTCCAGTGCTGGTCCTACACTGCCACACCATAAGTCCGTCCCAAACAAAACCTACAGTACCCGATATTCCCAAGCAGATTCCCATCCAAGTACTAAACCAGGCTCAACCCTGATTAGCTTCTGGGATCGGGCACATTCAGAGTGGTACAGCCAGAGACCTTAGAAGACTCTCTAAAGGAGGCACGCTTAATGTGGTCCTGAATTATTCATCACAGAAACAGGACACAATATTTTGGCAATGTAGCAGTCAGTAACGATAATTCTGCCTTCAACAAAGGGTATAACAGCATGTTCTCATTCCTATTATAAAATATACATACAGTAAAGAGAAATTCTTAGTCAACAATATGTAAATACAGAATTGCTTGTCTCAGCACTAAGCAAAACTTTCACAGCAAAACAACTAATTTCATCCAAGAAAACAGTAACACCAACATTCATGGAGACTATTCTTCATAGTATACACTAAAACAACTGCCAATTACGGAAAAGAATTCACAGTATTGAAAGCAATTTCAACAAAGCATTTGATCAATTTCTTTATCTAAAGTTCAGTATTTTATAGTATTAATATTCATTACAAACTACTGTTTCATTCTTTTAAAAGCATTACTCAAACGGATACAGCACATACTTTTACCATATGGTCCATGTTTATGGAAAATGATTGTCTAAAAAAATCTTTAAGGGCCAAAGGATAATTTACCATAAAAATACATTTCTTTCCGAGGCAATCAAGGCAATTTTAGCTGATTTTCTCATCTTACCAATCTTGCAATAATTTATTTAAAGAATACTTTAAAGGCAGAGCAACAATGAGGCATAATGAATATACAGTGACAGGACATGACTCACCTAAATAGGGAATGCAAGGTGTCATCTTTAAGCTACTTATATAGTCTCGGAGTCTTTTGTAGTTATCTTCTTTACTCATGACATATTCTAATTTTTCAAAGGTAGTTTTGTCTTTTCGACTTAATAACTGAAAACAAACAAAACATTAACGTATACGTTATTTACAAATCCCATTTCATGGAATCAAAGATTATTTCTTCTGAATTAAAGTTGTAACTACTATGTGTTTAAATTTGAATTCCAAAATTATTCCTTCTTGAATTATATTTTGATAGTAATACATAAATAAACCAACATCAATGGCATAGGTCTATTTTATTAAAATAATGAGCCAAATTTTTTAAATTGTAAAATATACTATCTTCTGCATCCAAATGAAATTACTAACTTACTAAGTTTGCTGTTATTGCTGTTAAGTGCCATTGAGTTGATTCCAACTCATAGTGATCCTGGGTTTCCGATGAATGAATGATGAGCTTGAGCCACTGACCTTGCAATTCAAACCGAACTTGCAGTCCAGTGCATCAACTGCAGTGCCACAACAGGACTCCTTACTAAGTAGTAAACTATAGTACATGAGTTCTCATCCTGACTATTTTAGATGGCTAATCAATTTTCTTCATTTTTCTTGGATCAGCCATCAACACTCATGGAAGCAGCAGCCAAGAAATCACACGACATATTGCACTAGGCAAATCTGGGGCACAGGAGCTTTTAAAAGTGTTGAAGGACAAATATGTCAGCTTGAGGACTAAGGTGTGCCTGACTCAAGCCATGGTATTTTCAATAACCTCATATGCATGTGAAAGCTGGATAGTGAATAAGGAAGATGGTAGAAGAATTGATGCTTTTGAGTTATGGTGTTGAAGGAGAATATTCAAAATACCATGGGCTGCCAAAAGAAACAACAAATCTGTTTTGGAAGAAGTGTAGCCAAAGTGCTTCTTGGAGGCCAGGATGGCCAACCTTTTTCTCTCATACTTGGACATATTGTCAGAAGGGGCCAGTTGTTGGAGAAGGTTATCATGTTTGGTAAGGTGGATGGTCAGAGAAAAAGAGGAAGACCCCCAGCGAGATGGATTGGCAGAGTGGCAGCATCAATAGGGTCAAGTGTGGCAATAATTGTGAGGTTGGGCCAGGACCGGGTAGTGTTTCCTTCTGTTGTGCATAGGGTTGCTATGATTCGGTACCACTCAACGGCAACAAGTCAATTTTTCTTAATCATTTTCATGATTAAAATCATGCATCCATAGGAGCTCTGGTAGCGTAGTGGTTACGAATTGGGCTGTGAACCTCAAGGTCAGCAATTCAAAACTACCAGCTGTCCCATGGGGGAAAGATAAGGCTTTCCGCTCCCGAAAAAATTTACAGCCTCGGAAACATAGTACAGGGTAGCTATGAGTCAGAACCGACTCCACGGCATATAACAACAACAACATTCACTTTCAATACCCAAATATTTTAATGAACTGTCCCTTGCTCCCTCAAAGATAAAAGTTCATTCTTATATAATCATCAAAAATAACTTCATTCTTGACAAATCTAATCACGGCTGGTCCTACCGAGACTGCAAAGTCCAGTGATTCCCTATATTTTTGGACTTCTGACAAGATCTCTGATCAGTGCTACACTGTACACAGCTGAACAATCAAATGACATAACTGAAAGGCACTGGTTAAGAGGTTTCAGGGAGAGATCTGTAGTGCCCTTTGATATCACTGAAGATAATCAGGGAGAATGAAAGAGAAAGGGGGTCAGGGTTCACTCACAATAATATTAAGGAATGATATTTTAAAATTCAAGAGATATTTTTGTGAATTATTCCAAAGAATTTGAAATTTTTTCTCTTTAGACATATGAAACCAGTATTTCATTATCATATAATAAAATTCTAGTTTATGTTCTAAAATATTGGTGCATGTTATAACAGGCAAAACATTTCCCAATATAAAATGATAAATTCTCCTTCAAAGTTAACAAAAAAGTCTTGAGGACTAAAGATGAGGACACGGAGTCAAAGGTGAGTAAATGGCAGAGCCGACTAACAGTATCAGTCATTCATTCACTCATAAGATGTTATGTCCCTGCTTTTTGGGGCTCCATAGTTTAGGTCCAAAGCTAAAGAGTATCCATTACTCTTTCCAGTATTACAAGTAGTCTAATTAGTATTGATACTAGAATCTATTTTCATAAGCTTTAGGACTTGATGGCACTTAACAACAACAAATGATAGATGGATTTCTATATGACAAATGTCTGAACAATATCCCTCCCTTTTCAAAACATGATTTCAAGGAGTCTTTTGCTTGAACATTTTTAGATAGACATTTCATGATCTAAAATAATGGTTTCATAGTCTTCTCCTATATTCCTCTTTCAACACACAGTATTAGCATTCTCAAGGTTAGGTGCCACTCTCTGTGCCCCACAGGTACCATATTTTCACATATAATGTGCCCCAGGAAACAATGCATACATTATATAATGTGCATAGGGCGTAAGGGAAAGTAACACAGGTGGGTGTTGAGTGGTTTGCAAATATAACCTGTGCCTTATCTGCATAAAATAGGGTAAGACTCACTATTCCTTTCTGTCTTTTTTCTTTTGCTCTGTAAGAGTTCTTTAAATATATGTTGCTGCTGTTGCTGTTGTTAAATACCACCAAGTCAGTTCCAACTCAGTAACAGTGTTTCCCAAGAATGGCTGGTGAGCTGGAAGCACCAACCTTGTGGTTCAAATGAATCTTGTGGTCTAGTGCATTATCCCACAGTGCCACATCAGGACTTTATATATATATATATTGGCTACAAATTCCTGATCAGTTACATTATCTCCACCTACTCTTTGGTCTCTTTCTAATTATCTTTAAGATATTTTTTGATAAATAAATTATTATTTTAATTGGGCAAAACATATCCATCTTTTCTTTCATTGTCTGAACTCTTTCGTGTCTTATCAAAAACTCCAAGCAGAGTCCTGGTGTGTCACTGTAGGATAAGTATGGAACTGCTAACTGCAAGGTCAGCAGTTCAAACACAGCAGTCACTCCTAGGAAAGCCTGCACAGGATCGCTATGAGTAGGAACTGACTCAGAAGCACTTAACAACAACATCCCAAGCTGGAACTCGACTTAGGCCAAACCCAAGCGATACCTACTTTTACTTCTACTCCCTAGCTTATATCACTCCATCAATACAGGTCACCCTATTACCTGAAATGATTTCTCAAAGAGCCGAAACCAACTCCCTAATATGACAACCTGTCCAAAATTACTTGGCAAACTTGGTAATCCATGTAAGGGGAGGAAATGTAAGTTTTCAAAGAACCAGCCATAAAATAATTTTAAAATCTTTATCCATTATGAAAATATTAACGTTTCTAAACATATCAGGGTTAGCATTTCGAAACTACCAGCTGTTCCGTGGGAGAAAGATGAGGCTTCCTACTCCCGTAAAAATTTATAACACTGGACACCCAGTACAGGTTGCTTTGAGTAAGAACCATCTCCATGGCACATAATCACCACCACCACCAAAATATATAAAAGAAACTAGTAACTCTTTACACTTCCAATTGGAAGTCTAAGCTTTCATATATGTAAAAAGATTACTCACCGCCCATGTTTTGGTCAACCTGAAAATTGGGGCACTTTGTAAGCCAGAAACCACCGCCATAAGTGCATGGAGGTTATTCAGTTCGTACAGCTTCTAAAGGGTTTTTAAAAAGAGGGAAGAGATGAAAAATAAATAGTGTGAATACAAAAAAATGCAATTATATAATACATGTGGCATAAAAAAAATATTCCAGGTAGAGTAAATGCTCAAGTGTCAAAAACAAGTTAATAAATTTAATTTGATAACAACTGAATATACAAAAGTCTGACTACAGTATATCAAAATTAAGAAAGACTAAATCAAGAGATAGCTTCCAGAATCACAGCAACTCACAAGCCACCACATTACAACAAACTGACAGACAAGCGGTGAATGCTTTAAAATTAAGAAAGGTATGAGACAGGATTGTATTCTTTCACCATACTTATTCAGCCTGTATGCTGAGCAAATAATCAGAGAAGCTGGGTTCTATGAAGAAAAACGTGGCATCAGGATTTGAGGAAGACTCATTAACAACCTGCGATATGCAGATGATACAACCTTGCTTGAGGACTAAGTGCGCCTGACCCAAGCCATGGTATTTTCAATAACCTCATATGCATGTGAAAGCTGGACAGTGAATAAGGAAGACCTTAGAAGAATTGATGCTT